AGAATAATCAAGCTATATCCAGTTTCAATATCTTTAAAGTTTATGTCAATAGCTTTATCAAGTATTCTAAAAATTTGTTCAAAGTTGTCTGAATGTTGAAAGAAGCTGTCTTTGCATGCAGTGAATTCGATCTATCTTACAACAATTTCACTGAAATCCCTTCGCCAACTAATTGTAAAGAAACACTGTAAGTTTGACTTCTGTTTCCTTGTCTTTCCTTTAATTGGGGAATATCAGCTTCCTCTGTGTCTGCATTCAAAATTAACTTCTGTGTTGGTTTTGCAGGAATTTGTTTAAAAGTTCTTGGGGAGGGAACTACTCGTAAGCTTCTACTCCAATAAGATGTCATTTCATTTTCTCCTCCTTTTCAGTTTCTGTTTTTTAAGATAAGCTGACGGTTCTCTCTCGCCAATCTGTCCAGGAAACCTGTTGAATGCCTGACTGATTATTGTTCAAAAGGTACTTATGGTTTTTCATCAAAATTATGGTATATGTTCTTTGTTTTGTAATGCTATGATATTTTATGTTCAGTCGGATATCCCAAAGTAAATTACATTTGTTTCTTGTGTTCTCAATGCTCATTGATAACCATCAACATTTTCACAATTCTGTGTAGACCAATACTCGGTGCACATAAATTGTGGCGGACCAGAAACCGCCATCAGAAATACCATCTATGAAGCAGATGATGAGCCTGGAGGTGCAACAAAATATGTACCAAAAAGAGAGGTTTGGCAATTAAGTACCACAGGACATGTCTGGGATGTTCGTCCTTCTGCAGATGACTACATGGCACAAAATAAGTCCATACTCAGAATGAGCAACTCTCAACTTTACACAAATGCACGCCTCACTCCTTTGTCTCTCACATACCACGTGCGCTGTCTAGTAAATGGGAATTACACTGTGAAGCTTCACTTTGCAGAAATAGTAATGAGGGACAACAAATCCTTCTATAGTCTTGGAAGAAGGATATTTGACATTTATATCCAGGTATTAAAGATCACATATTTATTCCTTATGTAATAAGAGATGAATTGATTGAAGCATTGTTCTTGCAGGACATAGTTGTGTTAAAGGATTTTGATATTGTAAAGGCAGCACAAGGGGTAGATAAGGTATACATTCATAATTCTACAGCATTAGTTACGGATAGAGCTTTAGAGATCCGCCTTCAATGGGCTGGGAAAGGGACGACAACATCACCAAAAATTGGAATATATGGTCCTCTAATATCAGCCATTGATGTAGAATCTCGTAAGTCATACCTTTTATATCTGAAATTTTGATATAGACTTCAATGTTGCATGGAGTAGGTTGATGTATAATGAAGCAGATAGAAATAAACAACTCTATAATCTGACGTTAATTGCTGTCTCTGTTTCAATTTCTGCATAGAATTCAAGCCTCCTAATAAAGGCAAGAGGAAGAGACTCATTGTTGCTGGTGCTGTGGTTGTGCCATTGTTCTTCATTTTCGTGCTTCTATTTACTCTTTGGTGGAAAGGTTATCTTGGAGGAAAGAAATCAAGGGATCCGGGTACTGTATAAACATTCTTTTGATCTGCGAGTTCTATTGTTCCTATTAATACATACTTTAAAAAACGAAAATTAGCAACCTCAAGGCTGTGTACTGTAGGATTGCAAAAGTTATTTGTTTTCTTCCCTTTCACAATGATGATTGTGTGACCTAATTTGTTCATCATATAAGGTTTTTTGTCACATGCTTGTCTTTTTCACATAGTAGTATGGCTCATGTTAAGATGCTAGGAAGGAAAAGCAGGCATGTCTAAAATCTGAAATGTATCATTTTTGGTCTCTCAGATTTATACAAGTGTGGTGCAAGGCTGAGATCTTTTCACCATGAGTGACATGTATTTTTACAAGTTAGTTTTTTCCTGATGAATCATTTGTGCAGCACAACTTATCCTCTTTGTTCCTTGGGCAGAACTAGTTGGGTTAGATCTGGTAACTGGTATTTTCACCTTCAGACAAATCAAAGCTGCAACAAATGACTTTGATCCAGAAAACAAACTTGGAGAAGGTGGTTTTGGAAGCGTCTACAAAGTATAGCGCAACTTTTTCTTTCATCTTTGTACTTATCAAGTATTTTCTTACACTTCATAACATTGAAGAATGACCTGAGTGAATCCATTTCCTTATTTATCTTAAATTTCTTCTCGTTTCAGGGAGTGCTATCAGATGGTACTATAATTGCAGTTAAGCAGCTTTCAGCTAAATCAAAGCAGGGAAATCGTGAATTTGTGAATGAAATAGGAATGATTTCTGCTTTGCAACACCCAAATCTTGTTAGATTGTATGGATGCTGCATTGAGGGGAAGCAATTGTTACTGGTATATGAATACATGGAAAACAATAGCCTTGCACATGTTTTGTATGGTATGCTATGCTCATTCCTTGAAGTATCGTTTATAAATTGATTTAAGAAACTAAAGCACTGTGAATGGATAACAGAAAGAATTAAGGTACAAAGCTTGATTGGTTGGGCTATGCATACTGATTACAGGCAAAAAGGAAGACCAGAGAAAGCTAGACTGGCATACTAGGCAGAGGATTTGTGTTGGTATAGCAAAAGGTCTAGCTTTCCTGCATGAGGAATCCACTCTAAAAATTGTTCATAGAGACATAAAAGCTACAAATGTCCTCCTTGATGGGGATATGAATGCCAAAATTTCTGATTTTGGCATGGCAAAGCTTGACGAGGAGGACAATACCCATATCACCACCAGAGTTGCTGGAACTATGTGAGTATCTGATATCTCCCTGTTTCACTCTTCAGCTAGTGTTTGTGCGTAACTCCAGTATCACCGCAGCTTTCTTTTTCAAGTAGTTTGGTTAAACAAAACTAATATGTGACTAATGTTGACCTTGATCAGAATACAATAATTACGATATAGATGGGCATATTGACTGACAAACTCAGTACCGTCTATGAATGAATTACTTAAATTTAGCATTTTTTTTTTTTACTTGTTTTAGTGAAGCCAAGTTCATTGAGTTATTTTTTCCCGTGCAGGGGATACATGGCACCAGAATATGCATTATATGGTTACTTAACCTATAAGGCAGATGTTTACAGTTTTGGTGTCGTTGCGTTGGAAATTGTTGCTGGGATGAACAACATGAGATTTCGACATGATGAAGATTTTGTATGCCTCCTAGATTGGGTAAGTTTTATAAGTTCCATTTATTCTGTGCAGGCAATACAAGCTCCACAACAGACTAGGGTAGACTACTTTAAGACCATATATAAAAAAACTGAAACTGAATATCATATTGTATCTTCGAAGACAGCATACTTTTTACAGCCACTTAATCATAAGTTAACTGATAAATTCCATACATTCTCGTCTAATCAAGTCCGAAACTTTTGCGAACATGAGGTAGCATAACAACCACTACATGTTTGTTTTCTGTTGTCTGTTTGTTCATGTTCAGTCACTTTGTTACTTTTTTCCTTTTGGTTTATTTCAGGCTCTGAATTTACAACAAAATGGAGACATAATGGAGTTGGTTGATCCAAATTTAGGGTCCCGATTCAACAAGAAAGAGGCTGTTGGAATGATTAAAGTAGCACTGCTATGCACAAACCAGTCTCCAGCACTGAGGCCTAAAATGTCTGCAGTAGTAAAAATGCTTGAAGGAAAGGGTGATGTTCAGGAATTAGTCATGGATCCAAGTACATTCGGTGATCCATCGAGTTTCAAGGGTTATAAACACAAGTCTGATCAATCATCATTCGGGAACATCAGTGAAAATCAGTCCCTTGTGCGTTCATCAGATGGACCGTGGATTGATTCTTCATCTACATCAGCCCAGGATCATTATCTTGATTAATCAATAATGATTCTAGCATGTAATGATATGCTTATAAAATAGCCTAGTCAAAGTTGCAATCTTACAGCAGAAGCTAATTTCACATTTTATAGAATTAAATAAATATCTACAAAGAAGCTGTATATGACTTAACAGAAGATATTGGTTATCTGTGTTTGGACTCTCCTTCAGCCATTTGCTGAGGCTTTTATACTGAGTGGTTGGCATTTTGTCTTCCGCTTAGCTGTTGGGTTAGCTCCACTGTGTAACTATCAAGTTCTTTGGGCTAACCTGCACTGACATCCCTCAAATTTATGCCTATTGTCAATTTGGTCCTGGAACTCTTAATTACATCAATGTGTTCATACAAGCTGCACTGCTACAACAAACAGAAGGGTCACATCTAGCCCTGCCCCACTATCAGACAAGGCCTAGGCATATCCAAAGCCAAACCAGAAGCAACATTTTTTCCTTATCTTTTGACATGGGATATCTTCCAAGCCCTGAAGTTATCGAGGTCAAAGTTGCATCTTGGATTGAGTCTCCTGTCACAGAAAAGTCCACTTTATTCTGCTCAATGCCCTTGACCACACTAGGTAAATACAAAAACAAAAAAATCGTCAATACGCTTTCCACAGCAAAATCTCATTCCCCGTAACATTGTTGATGCTTCATGAGTAAATTGTTTCTTTAATATTTTGACCATGAGAAGCCAAATCCTCCAATTTGATGCAGAATGGAAGCATGGTAAGCAGGTCCAAAAAATGATAAATTGTCTAGCTGAAAGGCTTGATTACGAGTTTTTGTTTGGAATATAAAGGTAGATAATCCTTACAGCTATATATATGTGAAAATCAAGAATAGAATAATGAATACAAAAATCAAATAATGATAGTAGTATTTGGTATCCCTTATTTGCATTTGGATAGTATTCCAGAATAAAAAGGACATAACTAGAAAAAACAAAAATATATTTGACAAAAATAAAAACATAAAATAAATGTATTTTTGTGACAATCATAGAATGAATTGACATGTCATTCTTATTCCCATCGTTGTCATTTCTTATGTCTCGAGAAGATAACCAAACACTACCCCCATCAAATGAAACACGTAAATCAATAAAATGTTTTTCAGAAGCATGGCTTGACATTCTTGAGGTACAACAAAGTACATGCTGCACCACTTCTTGAGCTGCTGTTTTAACATATAAAGTTAATATCAGCAGTGGAGAGACCGAGAAAACATAAATATAAAAATAGTTGTTATCTCTGAAGTCTGAATTATGTGTCTTCAATTAGAGCTTGATTTGAACTAAATGGCTGATATCATAGGGGTAAGCATCAGATGGGAGAAAAGCAGTGTAGGATCTCCTTGCGGTGAATTGGTTGAGAGCCTCGGTGGGATGAAAAGCGTCCCAAAATACATATTCAGTCCTATTTTTGCATGGATTTGAGTTTGGAATGCATTGACCATCACTGCGTACTGGACAGCATCCAACATCTACAACATTGAATCCTGCATCAATGCACAAAACAAACACTTCTCATAATCTAGCTAGAAATAGTAATAGTAACATGCATCCACGGAGCAGTATTATTAAACTAGGTATAGCTCGGTCAAAATCTAATTTTAAAACATAATTTATAAAACAAATCATTTTATGTTTTTTTTTTAAATCTTGAAATAATATTGTTTTAAAATGACTTGGATCAACTTGTACGATTTATAATCTAAATTTTATTACTAGAAATGAAATTGGCTAAATTTGATAATTTTGTTATGAAGAGCCAAATAACTTCTATTTTTATTTATGTACGGATGAAATCTTTTTCATATAAAATTCTATGATATAGAAGATTTATAATTGAAAATTCATAAATCATGCTAAAATCATCAATCTAGTTGTTCTTCACAAAAGCATGTAAAGGGAGGACACATCAAGATAATTATTGGGTACCTATGATTGAGATGATCATTGTTATGGGGCCGGTTTTTTCTCTTTTTTGTTTTTTTGGGGGGTGGGGGGAACAAAAGTTAAATATCATGAGAAAAATCATTATATATCAAGAAATTTTATTATAGATTATAATAATAGTTTTATTTTTAATTTTTTATCTTTACATGAGACGTTTCTTTGGCTTTTTTTTTCCTTAGCGAAGGGATAACGCTCGTGCTGTTAAAAAAAAACATGGGGGCAGAAACAATTCTTTAGTTTCTTTTTTTTTTTCTTAGCGAATGAATGACGATAGTGCTATTAAAAAAGCACATGGGAGGCAGCTGGCTACAATTTGTTCAATCAATTTTGCTACTACTAATATTATAACAAAAATTAAATATAATGAGAAATCATTGTATATCAAGAAACTTTATTATGGATTATAATAGTTGTTTTATTTTTAATTTTTTATCTTTACACAAGATGTTTCTTTGACTTTTTTTTCTTTCTCAGTGAATGGATGACGCTCACGTTATTAAAAAAGTGCATGTGATACTTCTTAGCTGTCAAATATAGCCATCCATCATCTCTTTAAATGTGTCATCTCTTTAAATGTATAGTCATGCCCTATTACATATGGTGTGATATATAAGACATATAATAGTTGGATTGCTATCAGTAATCGATAGCTTGTGTTTTTTCTTTATTTTCTCTCTTAACAACTAAAGTACATAATTATCCTCTTTATTTATTGTTTGTTGAGTGAGGTATGTTTGTCATACTCAAGTGCATTGGATCTGGCATGATTGTCATGCCCAAAAAAATACCAGACTTGTGCCTGGGCCCGAAAACCATGCCAACAACATTGTCAGATCCAAGATACTTAGGTCTAACAATCCTATGCAAGTGTACTGTGGATCAAAACATAGTCCACTATAGACTTGCACAATAAATTTTTCAAGCTCTGAAGGCTTGGGATAGGGCTAATTTTGTCTTTTTATAAACAGTTAAATTATCACTTGTCATTTGGTTGAAAAAATCAAAGCCCTAATTATGGGGATATTTTAGAATTTTTCATAGTCTCATTAGCCATTAAATGTTTCAATAAGGGTATGGTAGTCTTTTCATGATTATTTGCATAGTAAAAATATTACTCTACTCTTACGATTAACAAAATTAAAACCTATTACCCAGGGTTTCTTTTTTTTCTTTTTACCTTTCAAAAACTATTAAATAATTAAAATACATCTTTAGCCTTCGAAAAGACAAAAAAAAGCTTTGCATATGGGGATATTTTTGTTCTTTCACACTGCTTTTCATGTAATTTTCTATAATCATAAGAGATATTTTGGTATTTTGATATTGTTTTATGATTTTTAAATTTCAAAAGTTGCATTAGACCCACGTTTACTTGGGTCTAATAAACAAGCAGAACCCAAATTACTTGGGTTCCAGAACCAAGTAATGTAGATCTAGCATGTTTGTCTATATGAGTCTAATAGTCATGTTAGGCCCAAGGCGTTTGGGTCTCAATCATACCTGCCAGATTTAAGGTTATTAAATGTGACAAATATGTCAAATCCAAGTCATTTGGGTCTAGACCCAAGTGCCTGGGCCTGGAAACCATGCCAAACTCGCTTGCTGAGGTCTATCAAGCCCAAACTACTTGGGTCTGACAACCATATTAGAATCTGGCATGGTTGTCAAATCTAAGCGCATGTCTGGCGTTACTGTTAGATTTAAAAACCTTGGGTCTAGCAATCATATTGAGGTCTGATATGATTGTTAAACCCAAGTGTGTGTCTAAAACGTTGTTGTCAAACCCAGAAACCTTGGGTCTAACATTGTTGCAAGACCTAAGTTGTTTGGATCTTGATCAAGCCTTCTAGACCCAAGGTATGTAGGTATAGTAAAAATACTAGACCTAATTGTCTAGGTAAAAAAATTTAAAAATTTTTAAAAACATAATTGGATTGTAAAACCAAACATTATCTCATTCAAGCAGGATTTTTCATTTATATATAGTAAAACTTAATTACAAACTCTTTTTTATTTGTGTAACTTATTTTATAAATTTGTTATATTCAAAGAGAAAGAATGAAAAAAATGTTGACTTCTATGTGATTTATTTCAAGTCTTCAAAAATAAATTAATATTTTTTTATACACCATGAATGTAAATATTAATTTTATGTTTCCATCCAAGTGCTGGCTATTTTTTAAAGGGTTAATACTTTTTAAAATATGAGATGTTGTTGCATGATTTATTTGTCAAACTTTGGATCCAACCAACCTGATCGAGTTACTGGGTTACACTAGTAATCAGTTGGTCTTCCCAGCCTCCTCTGGTAGCCTCTAATAATATTCATCCCAGCAGCACCATTACAAGGACCATGAAAGTTTATTCTACATTATAATTATTAATATATATAAATTTTTTTGAATTGATATGCTATGTTATAGGAAAAACAATATTGTATATGTAAAAGATTTATTGTTCTTTTTACTATCTTATTTTTTGTGATTTTATAAATTATTTTTTCACTAAAATTAGAAATTAATAAAAAAATATTTAAATTTTAGGAATGCATGTTGAATCAATGCTAGATCCATGTTTAAGTTTAGTAATTACGTCAGATCCAAGCTATTGGGTTTAGCAATCATGTTAGGGTTTAGTATAGTTGTCAGGTATCTAGAATCAAGTAAAAAGTTAAATAAATATTTAAAAATCAATCTACTTGATTAAGTTTAATAACATTATTAAAATATTTTTATATTTAAAAAAATAATATTAACTTGTTCCAGATTACAAGACAGTATTCTAGTCTAATGTTATTTCTCATGGGAGAAATAATTTTTTTAATTAATGATAAGGATTTTCTCAGGACTTTCTCGAGATTAAATTTTCTTTTTTTCTAAACAATTTCAAAAATGCTTCTTTTGTATCGGTTGTATGAATTTATAATTATTTAATGGGTTTTTTGAATGATGGTTTCAAGATTTGTACAATATATATATATATATATATA